AGTCCTGGAACGCTTCCCTGAGAATGCCACAGCAGGTCGTTGGGCTCTGCTCCCAACCATTCTGAGAATGGGTTCCAGAACCCGTTGGCAGTCCATTTCCTCAACGGTTCACAGCCCAACGCCCCCATTATTTGCTGGGTACCAACATAAAGGTATTTTATTGGTTCTCCAGTTGGTCAAAAATCAGGAATAAGTCCTCCACAAAAATTAAAACTTTGGTTTCCCTCAACTTGAAGTTATAGAAAAAACATTTTAGTGTATCTTTCACACCAGGGACATATTGCATAAACTCAAACCCCATATATGTTGGCATGCTACTGAAGACTAAGTTAATTGTTAGGAGCACATTTGAGTTGTCAATAATTCTTGCAGATGGCATTTCAACAGGGTTTCAGATGCTTTTAAATTTGAAGAAGATTTGTTTTTCAAAATAATTTGGCATTTGCTGAGGGCAGCTGCTTATTGGGGGCATCTGAAAGGGGATTCAAATTTATGTTGAATTGTTGATGAATGTACTCTTGTGACAAGTGTTGGAAAAAGGTCAAGGATTTCTTCTATGCATATTTCTCATTTCCATTCATTTCCTATTTGCAGCTATCTGAACACCACTGAGGTATTTTTTCAGTTTTTATGATCGAGTATGAAAGATCAGCAGTGGTATACAATTGATTAATATTTGTTTTCAAACGCAGTACTTTGAAGTAAGATATGACGGAAAGCTAGTAAGACTCCTGGCAGCTTGCATGTACTTGTTGTACATGTCTTTGTACATGGGAACTGCTTTGTATGCTCCTGTCATGGCTTTGTCTTCAATGACAAACTTTCCAAAGTGGGCTGCCATCTTGCTGGCGGGCGGCATATGTTCAGTATATTCCAGCTTGGTGAGTTGCTCTTTTATCCGTAGCCCACATCTTTTCTTTGATATACCAGGGATCTAATGAAAGTTCTCAGAATAAAAGTTGAAGAGCTGAAGAATACAATTATCATTTAAAAAAAACGTTCTTTGGTACTAGAAAAAATCCAGCCCTGTTTGACACAGTTCGCTGAAAGTTTTTCGCAAATGTTACCCTTTACTGGCACCCTTTCTGCTCTTCAATGATGAGATGCGATGCTCATTTCACAGATTTTTTGTTCAAACCAGCTTCTTGGAAATTCTCGAAATCAGCATGGCATCAGCAGTCGCCTTCAAGGCCGCCCACATGGGGTGAGAATGTGGCTACTGAGAAGGGGGCATTTTATGAAAAATGAAGGAATGAGGTTAAAAGACCTGAAGGCAACCTTTAGAATCAATGACATGTTGATTTTAAGAATTTTAGAAAAGAAGCTGGGCTATACAGATAATTGCCAAATATGGGTGTCTTAGTTATTGAGTGAAGAGCAGAAAGCTGCCAAGTTGACTTTTGCGAACATTTTCTTCAAAATGTATACGAAAAAGGGCTGCATTTCTTGGCTCAGTCACATCAACGCATGCCATTTTAGTTTTCACTTTGAGAACTCATGCTGGACCCCATCGTAAATTTAACAGAAAATATAAAGAAGAAAAAAAATAAAAAAGTAAACGAACTGCAAGAATTACTGTTTCATCGCGGATTATGTTTTGTACGTATAGGGTGGCTTGAGAGGAGTTGTGTGGACAGATGTTTTTCAAATTATCGTCATGTTTGGAAGCATGTTGACAACTTTTGTGTACGGAATTGTGCAAGCCGGAGGGGTTAAAAAAGTTTACGACGTTAGCAAGCGGTTTGGAAGGCTAGACTTTTTCAAGTGAGTCATCGTCGTGGTTTTTTTTAAATTTTACTCAATATACTATATGTCGTGAATTTCTTCTGAAATCGAAAAACGACTCGAATATAAAAATCAGCTATTATTTTCCAAGCTTCAATCCAGATCCATTCCAACGACACAGTTTCTGGCTCCTCGTGTCAAACACAGCATTCCAATGGATATTTGTGTACGGAGCTGCACAAGGTTCTTTCCAGCGGTACGTTAGCATGCCGACGTTCAGGAAAGCGCAACTGTGAGTAATTCATATTTAACATGCAAACAAATTTCCAGGGAATTCAAAGCACTTGGGTTTCGGCATACTTTTTTTTTTCATAGGGCTCTTGGGCTCAACGTTCCCATTCTGCTGCTCATGGCTCTGATTTCCAATCTGACTGGCTTAATTCTCTTCGCAAATTATGCGACTTGCGACCCGATTTTGACAGGCGACATAGAAAAGATTGACGAAATATTGCCCTTCTTTTTGGACGACAAAATGGGGCATATCAACGGGATTGCAGGGCTTTTCTTCGCCAGTTTGTTTGCTGGTGGTCTCAGGTATTCGGACGTCGTTATTGGGACGATGTTTTATACAAACTTCCGACCATCATGATGAGAAGCTTCTCCAATTGAATTGCAAATTTCAAATGATCAAAACTCGCAGTATTACCTATGCCAAACGATTTCAGAACTTCTAAAAGAATCATTATTACGAATTCATATGCACTTCTTCAGTTTTTGAATCCGGCGTTGAATCCAAACTTTTTAGAATTTGTTTGCATATCCGGCGGTGAGCTCACTTAAAATGAAGGTATCGTAATAACAATTTAATTTTAACAAATTTTTATCGAAACATAATTTTCAAAGTTTGCGTTGGAAGAAGCTGTTTTCAGAAAGCGAAAAGCGTTCAACAATGCAGTTCAAGAAATCGTTCTTTTTTGGATTTTCCGCAGATTTTCCCCACTTTTATCTACTCTTTTTTCTTCTTCTTCTATCCCAATCTTTGCAAGAATCAATGCGGAAATGTATTATATAGCTAGACTTATTTTATGGAAATTTTTCTTAGTGGATAATTCATTCCCAATGTTCCAAAACCTTATCTCTTAATCGTGGGTCAGAAAACACTCACAACTGGAATGAGTCAATTGTCATTTCAAGGAAAAAAGGAGCACTGTTTCAGTCAAAACTTGATGCATATGCATGTATGAAGATCTTACGTGTGTATTGACATTCTTGTACAGATAATTTTTCGTTGATCCCTGGAAGTTTGATGAAATAACAAAACAACACCTCCGCGCCATCTAAAATTGAGTTCAATCCTGATTCCTTCAGCTCAGTGTCTTCCGGTTTGAACTCGTTGGCATCAGTTGCTTGGGAAGATGGGTTGAAGATTTCCGGATGGCCAGATTCGCTGAGTGAACAAAAACAGGTTCTTGTGGTCAGGATATTAGGTAAGCTGGAACCATTTTTTCCCCCACCAGTTCTTCTCGCTTCGTTGGTCACCACCTTTTTATGCTGAAAAGAAGACAGCTCAACGTTTTCAAAATCAAGACAGTTGTTGAACGTTTTCAAAATCAAGGCAGTACAGTAAAACATTTTCCAAATCCGTCGGCTGATATTGTATGAAGTCTGCATAATACAGTAATCGCTTTCCTTGCCGGATTATAACTAGGGTTCGGTTTCGGGGTTCTGGGTGTTGGACTGGCATTCATGAGCAGCACTCTGGGTAGCATCAACCAAGTGAATTTGACTCTGACTACAACATTTGCGTCTCCCATCATGGCTATGTTCCTGGCATCCATCTTTTTACCTTTTGTAAACAAGCCTGTGAGTTTATTATGATATTTGGGATGGGATGAAACAGTTCTAGTATATTTCCGTCTTCAACAGAATACTGTATGTGTATATGCTTTTAAAAAATGAGCAAAATCACTCGTGTATCAGCTCAGTTATTTTCCCTTTTTCACCTTTTGTCTTGAAAGCTGGTTATTTTGGTTTGTTCATCGAAATTCACATGCATCATTACTTTAAATTGGAATATTTCATAGATTATGGCATGAATATGAGCTATGGCTAACAAAATGACTAGATCCCTTATGTTTTGTACCAGTTCCTCAGCTGAAGTGGCAGGCATTTATTCTTATTACACAGGCCTGACGTACAATAATAATTCCAGGTAAATTTTGTTTGGTTTTCTGGGAGCCAAACCAGAAAATATACCTTTTGAAGCCCTCAGGGTACAAATGAGAAAGAATTGACTCAGCTCTTGATTTTTGAGGATATTTTTTGGCCAATAAGATTGCATAACTCATCTCAACAGTTTTGAAAGTACTGTAGTAGTGAGTATTTACTGAAGTACCATGTGCACCTTTTTCCTTTTTTTCAAAATGTATCCTCAAGTATGATGCTGACCTTTTTTTTCAGAAATTCAGATGGAAAAAGAGGGTTGCTGGTGTGGTACTAGGGGATATATTTTTAAAGGAAAATTCCCAAACGCAGTGCCCCACACAAATGCAAGTCATTGAAGATTAAAAAAGATGAGGAGACAGTATGTTGCACCAAGGCTTCTTATTGTCCATGGAAAACAATTGTTCAAGCAATAACCGTTTTAGGAGTACTGTATATCAGCTGGAGATGCAACAGGACAAATAGGAAGAGTAAAATACTCATCTAGTTGAGGAAGCTGCCATATTGTCATTTGGCAAGGACTCCAACCTTCTTCAGCTCCAAATGTCTTCAGCTCCAAACCTCTTCAGCTCCAAACCTCTTCAGCTCCAAAACCTCTTTAGCTCCAAACCTCTTCAGTTCCAAACCTCTTCAGCTCCAAACCTCTTCAGCTCCAAACCCTCTTCAGCTCCAAACCTCTTCAGCCCCAAACCTTTCATACATTTTGAACAGTTTTAATAATTTCAGGGTTTTAGTAATTTTCAAAAAGTTTGAAGTCCCCAGCTGGGGAATTTTTCATCAGAAATTTCCCTGCTTAGGGAATTCTCCATGGGCCTATTTTCCTAATGCTGCAGCATCAATAGCACTCAGCTTAATCCAGCCCTGGGCAAAGTATTTTTTGGATGACTATCTGAAAGGAAATTTGGACCACAGGTAAATGGCAAATCTTTGAGTGCATCATAGCAGCACCACCCCTTAAATCTGTAATGAAAAAAAGGAATGAAGGCTGCATGATTTCAAGCATCACTATATTGTTCAAAAGGTTATTCTTAAGGTATTAAATTTCTCAGGCGTATTATTCGCAATGAATATACCGTAAATATGGGACTATAGAAATCACGTCTGAAATGAAAATATTTGTATAGCAGTACGTTCTTCGGAAAACGCGTCATGTCAGAACTATCAGTATAGTCGATAACTCTCGAGTATTGTACTGTATTCCACTTATCATGACATTCTTCCACGTTGTCCAAAGTGATATTTTATTAATCTCATTGATTTAATCTGAATCTAGATCTGAACCAGTAATTCCATCACAAAATTTACATTAATAGCTCGAAAAATAATTTCAGATTTATTTTTTGCGCAGGGGATTCTTGCTGGAGCACTGCTGAGCTTCGTGATGGCCAGTTGGGCGGGGTTTGGGAAGCTTTCCCGCAAGATGCCACCGCCTACCAGACTTCCATCCAGCATTGAAAACTGTGCTAATGAGACCGAGTCCATGATGATGGCCTTTCGTCTTCAATTCGACCCCTGGTTTTTGGCTGACAATTCAACAGGCGAAAGGTTTACAAAATACTGTATATAAGTTCGCAACGAGAAAGAAAATCGTTGGCTTTTATCATCGTAAGTTGATTAATGAACTTTTTTTGTGCATTCGAAAAGCGAGGAACAAGTGAGAGACTTCTACCATTTATCGTATCTACTGAATCAGCAAATGGGACTTTGGTCTGGTGTTTTTTCAAGCGTTTTCATCAGCTTGGTGACAGGTTAGAATTTGAGTCTTGGAACTATAGAATGATGGCAGCTTCGAAAGTTTGGTCACTTCTGTAATTCTTGCATTAGTTTAACTGTCAAATTGCCCTGATCATTGCAGAGTAATGCAAGCATCAACCATCAACATTATGCTACCATCTGTTTGATGTAAGTTTAACAGTTTCAAGAATATGCCAGGATTTTGTAAAAAAAATTCCACTCAAAATTAGACAATTTTAGGTTTAGGAAGGAAGAAGATCTCATTTTTACATTTATTTGTAATTCTACTTCTGGGAATATTTTATTAAAATGAAATTCGCCCATCAAGGAAAGTTTTCTGAGAGGACGAAAGCTTCTGAATTTTTATTTCTGAATTTTCGAAGAGCTGAAGAAATACTATACAGTTTAGAATTCCACGGGCAAGTTTCTTCCAATATGAAAATGTTTCATGCTTCAATAACGGAAAACTTCTGGAAATTTGAAGATCGAGTGCAAAAGTAAAGATTTTGATAGTAATCGTTTAAGTTCGGTATTGAGATATTGAACTGAGGTTTTTTTCTTTTCTTGTATGTCTTAATATTTCCACGACAATAGTTTAAGCTTAAGGATTCTGGAGGAGACACTTCGCAACCATGAAAACTTCAATTCGAGACGAAAATTTGGCAACGCTTTTGGACCATTTTCAAAATAGGATACATAAAGAATTCCTTTTTCTTTTGTTTCAGGGGGATGGAGACAATCGTACAATGATAACAAAGCGTTTCATCCTTGTGTCAGGAACTTCGTGAAGCTGAAGGAGTGAATAGCATGATTCAGGATTTCCCCCGTTTCTAATTCATTCGATCAGATAAATTCAGCGCGTCATGGTCAATCGATAGGCTACAGTCATTTTTCCGTCGAATATTCTTCATTCAGTTTCTGCAACTATATAGCTGGATTGTCATGTTGCCTGCGTACTGTTTACTTGGAATATACAGCACTGTAATTCTCGGATTGCATATGACAGTTACTTCAACTTTCTTTGCTGTATTGCAGTATTTTTGAGGGTGCTGGGTCATCCGCCAGTTGGTCAATTCACGGTCGCCCACCCGCCGGTTGTCAAGCTTGGGTTGGTCCAACCACCAGCCAGGGCAGTCCTTGGCCTCACCAATCCCCAGCCCACCAAACTGCAGTCAAGTCACCCAATTGTTGGGGCACTCAAACAATTGGGTGACAAGAATCATGCTGATTCTTTCAGGAATTTGGTTAGCAGAATGGTATCCTACCTCAGATTATTATTTTTTTTGCAAAATTGCATCTTATAAAATTTTTAACAAAAAGAAAAAACTCATCAAACCCAACCAAACCTAACCTAACCTATCCTATCCTAAACTAACATAATATAAACTGATCTAAACTAACCTAACATTGCTGAAATTTTGCAAAAAGAATATCCTGTGGTAGGATACCATTCTGCTCATCAAATTCTTGAGAGAATCAGCATGATTCTTGTCACCCAATAGTTTGGGTGCCCCAACAATTGGGTGACTGGACTGCAGTTTGGTGGGCTGGGGATTGGTGAGGCCAAGGACTGCCCTGGCTGGTGGTTGGACCAACCGGCGCTTGACAACTGGCGGTTGCGCAACGGTGAATTGACCAACCAGCAGCTGACAGGACACAATTTTTGAGGGTTCTGGCACTTTTGACAGAGACATTAGGCTACATACTCCTGCTCTATGTAACCAAGTGTTCTTCTACATTTATAAACTTGGCATTAGCAAAACTTTGAAACTTCCTCAATTTACAAAAAGGTGTAGAAAATTGTTTTTTTTTTGTTTTAAGATAATTGAAGCAAATATTTAATACAGGTGGTACCTTGCAATTTTACGTCCCGCAATTCACCTGTCCCACAATTTGGCAGTCAAAGGAATTTCACAGTTGTATTTGCAGGGAGGTTGACTTCCAGTTTGACCCTTGCTCTGCAATTCAACCTGCTTCGGCCCCCTTTTTTTGCATTCTTGAATGATATTTAATCATTTCACAAGGTGTCTCATTGTAATGTGACCATTTTGCAATTCAACCATAGCTTGGCAACGGATTACAGTCAAATTGCAAGGTACCACCTGTTGTATACAAGGATTGCAAAATACAGTTTATCCATGGGTGAGAAATTTTATCATTTTGTAGGAGGAAATTTGGGAAATTTGTCATTTATGTCCAATTGGTTGCAATTTCACCATCTCAGAATTTGAAATTTGTATTTGCAGGGATAAGGTTGATTTGCAATCTTACCCTTGCCCCGCAATTTGACTTGCTTTGCGCCCATTTTTTGCATGCTTGTACAATACTTTTGTATTTCACAAAGTGTCTTGCAATTCAACCATTTTGCAATTTGACCCTAGTTTGGCAATGGATTATGGTCAAATTGCCAGGTACCACCAGCACTATACAATGATTGCAAATCATTTTATCCAGGGGTGAGGAATTTTGTCATCTTGAAAGGGGGAATCTGGGAAAACCGTCATTTATCTTGGGTTATATTACAAAATTCTGCGAAAATTTCGAAATGAATATGGCATGCTGATTCTCTCATGTTTTGAGAGACAATTTTTTTTGTTTTCACTGAAGCTTCAAGAGTCCACTTTCGTGCGACAATCTTTTTTTTCTTTCTTAGAATTCAGCTTACTTCTTCGGTGTTTGATGTCCGAATGCCTTCGAAACAAAGAAATTTCCCCCTGCGTATATACGTCCCGTTTTAACCTACCGGAGTTGAATGAAATTCTTGCCAACCTTCAAAGGAATTTCCTACGCCATAAACTGTGCCATTTTTCCTCGCCACATCTTGATATAATTTTTAAAACGCACTGCTGGACATTTCTTCACTGAGGACCGGTTCAGCATGGCGGAGCCGAACTTGAAGATGTCGACTGTCGACTACATTGTTGTGGCTCTGTTCATGTTGGTGACACTCGTCATCGGATTATTTGCTTCTTGGAAATCCTCCAAGAGCATGACGAGTAAAGACATGGTCATACACAAAGGTGAGCGAGTTTCGCCATTCGGAAGAGTCCTTTTCTTTGAAGAAAATATCTGTATTTCGTTTGGTGCGAGTGCAAATAATCTTGACTAAAGATGCATCGTTAAGTTCCTCAATGATAATCGCAATTTTTTTCTTCAGAAATAATCGCGGATGTATTTATAGCTGAATTACATTTTTATTCATCAATATCTTGAAGTGTTTTCAGAAACATTTCAATGAAATTCATGTTTTTTTATTTTTTGCTTCAGGAATGTCACTGCCGAGCGTCGTTTTAAGTTTGACAGCGACATTTCTTTCGGCGATTTTGCTTGTCGGTACGTACAAAGAAGCATGAATTCACTCGAAATCACTTGAAATGGATGCTTTGAATTTATATTTACTTGATGACGCTTCTTGAATCGGGAGAAAAGGAACCCCTGCTGAAGTGTACGCTTACGGCATTGAATGGCTGGTAGTTTGCCTGGGTTACATACTCGCGTTGCCAATCGCGGTTTTTACAGCGGTACAAACACTATACCCGCTCGAAATCTCCAGTATTTTTGAGGTATTTTTAAAAGAGGAAATACAGTGAGACCCCCGACGCGGATGTACTTGGTGCATCAAGAGTGTCCCTAATTTTAGTCTATTTTTCCCATAGACTTACATTACATAATTTTTAATTGGTGTTTTATGGAAGAAATATTCTTCAGAACTCCATGACAAAAATGTGCTTGCCACTTGAATTTGATTCAGTGAATATCTTTTCAACGTGATAAAAAGATTTGGAGCATTGAATATAGTACACCACTGTACAGTACATTGAAATGTTGGCATCTGTGAAAATAACATCCAAGTCACAAACAGAGAAGGAAGCCCCTCTGTTCTATAGGTAATTTTATTTTGTACTTTCCTGTTATCTCTGTACCTTCCCTCTGACCAATTTAACCTGACCTAACCTAACCTAACTTCACCTAACTGCCTCCAAAAATAAGTTTCTGCTTTCTTTGGGTTTCTGCTGAAAGTGATTTTGGGAGGCGGTTAGGTAAAGTTAGGTAGGTCAGGTTATGTAAATTAAAAGATATTTGTAACTAACATAACCTGACCTAACCTAACTTTACCTAACTGCCTGCCAAAATCAGTTTCAGCAGAATGCAGAAAAATAAAATTCCTGGTTGCTGGTAGGTGTTGTGATTATGAACTTCTCCTAAAGATTTGTCTGGATCGTAGTGCAGTCTAGGAATGAGGTACAGAGACAACAGGAAAGTACCTTTTATTTAAATTAGTTGAATGGATGGGAAAATGATGGGAAAAGTAAAAAATTTTTCTTTCTTATATCTTAGGTTTGGAAATATCTGTTTCTTGTCCTTGAGCCTAATCAAAGTCAATTTTTCTAAAAGGTATTGGCAATTTTGTCATGCAATGTCCTCAGGTCAAGTCAGTGTCCAAATGTTGGTCCTTTTTTATGATTCCTTTTATTGAAAAATAAATGTCCCTATGTTGAATTTTCCCCATGTCAAGGTGTCCGCATGTGGGGTTCTCACTGTAATCTAAAAGCTTCTGGGGTTTCATTCATGTCTGACGAATTTTTGGTGATGTAGTATTTCCAGTTGAGATTTGGGGGCAGAAGCGTGAGATCCATGGCCGCGTTTTTGTACGCTGCTGTGATGATGTTCTACTCTGGAACAGCACTTTATGCCCCAATCATCGCAATTGCATCAATTACGGATGTTCCTGAATGGGCTGGAATCTTAATCGCTGGCTCCATTTGCACACTTTACACTGCCGTGGTAAGCAGTAAATATTATCCTTTTTCATCTGATCAATGAAAATTTTAGCTATCCTGCTCCGGAGATAAATTATCTAATTACTCGCTGAAAAATTAATTTCTTCTGCTCCGGAAATAAAGGATTTTGCTAAAATAACCCAAGGAAAATCACTGAACTCCAGCAGAAGCGTGTTAAAATTAACACTCTTCAATGGCTATCAGAAGAAGAAGAGGTTCATTACGTTTTCTAAATAATATCTTTTGCCTCACTCAAAATATTTCAAGCTATCATCAGCGTTTTTGCTGATGTTTTGAGTAAAATATTGCGTGCTTAAGCTTTCGAGGAGAAAAACGTTCAAAAAATAGTGTCTGATCGCCAAGTCATTTTTACTACATGAATTATCCATTCTCTTCAATATGATATGCTGCGAGCTGAAACCTATTCGAAGTTGAATTTTTGAATCCAGATATAAGTCATATAACATTCGGAAATAATTAATATAGTTCAGTACTGTGCTCATCACTTGCAGGGCAGGTATACAAAGAAAATCTGGTCTTCTATTCTTTCGAGTTGGAAAGACAGTCTGGTTTCTTCCACTATTTGAAAATGTCAAATTTTATGAGTCGAGTTTCTTTCGGTTGATTTTTCAAAGTAAATTTCATGTGGCTCGACGGCTCCGTCAGTAATATTCGCAATTTGAATGATTTTCGCAAACGTTTGAATGTGAATTCTTTCAAATGTGAAGACGTGAGAATTTAATCACTTTCATTGACTTATTCTTCAAATGAGTTAAAAGATTTGTGTGTTTTTCAACGTTTTCAGGGAGGAGTAAGAGCTGTGATTTGGGTGGATTCATTCCAGTTTCTAGTCATGCTTGGGTCTGCCGTCGCTCTGGCAGGATTTGGGTCCAGCTTGGTTGGAGGAGTTCATCAAGTCATCCAAATTTCCAAAAAGTTTCACAGGACGAATTTATTTGAGTGAGTTTGATTCTTCAAGAAGACTTTCCATTCTCATATTTGTGCATCTCTTAATTATATTTCACATCAATGTCCCCCAACTCCTGGTCCACAGGCTGGTGCAGGTCTGCTGAAGTTTTTTTGTTGTCTGTTTCTGCACTCTGCAGGACGTTTTCCGCAGCATTAAAATTACCAATGAAGTTTGATCTTTATTTGGAATTTCAGAAAGACAATGTCAGTTGAAATTAGTGTATGTGATGAATATAGAAGTTGGCTTTTCTCCTAATCATACTTCTGACCATTTTTTACCTTCTGAAATACATTCTTTCAAGTTTTCACTCTTGGAAATCTTTCTTCATGCTCACCTTTCTAAATATTTGAAGACATCCCAGATTCCCAGTAAATAGCTTCTTGAGTTTTCCACTTAATTTTTGCAAAGAACCAGAATTTTTAATTACCTGCCATAAAGCCTCGTCAGACAAAATTTGTTTCAGTCCGCAAAAATTTTATTAAACTTTGTCATAGTCCACAGAAAATTTTTGAGGAATTTGCCACTCCATAAAAAAATTTACGGAAATGTTCTGGTCCGCGTTCCTAAAATGGTTGGGGAACACTGTTCTTCACAATTCGACTTGCATTATTCTGATGGGTAACTTTGCCTCCGAATCCGCAGATTTTCAACAGACGCTTACATGAGACACAATTTTTGGCTGATTGTGTCCAATACAGCCTTGCAGTGGGGGTTCGTGTTTGGTGCCAATCAAATGGCATTTCAACGCTACAAGAGTTTACCCACTTTGAGGAAAGCCATCGCGTGAGCGAAGTTCCCTTCTTCTTTTGTTTTCCTCAAGAAAGACAAAATGAGCATGGAGGGATGAAGGACATTCTCGAAATACAGGAAACGTATTTGTATTGACCTGTTTCTAGGGCAGTGGCACTAAATGTGCCCAGCATGATAATGCTGACAGCTTTGGCTTGCTATTGTGGACTAGTGGTTTTTGCCAACTATGCGTATTGCGACCCGTTGTTGGTGGACCCGAGTAGAAAAACTGACCAGATTGTTCCGCTGTTTCTGGTTGACAAAATGCGGGGATTCATTGGGCTTCCTGGACTCTTCATCGCTGGCATCTTCAGTGGAGCACTTAGGTAAATGAAAGGTACTTTTTCAATTAAATTTATGTACGGACCTTCTGGATATTATTCAGTATTAACAGTGGTCCTTCATCGGCTGAGTTCCCCCTTCAAGTTTTGCGAAATTTGCTTAACCGAGAAATGATAAAAATAAAAAACGAGAGCGCATCAACTGTTCACATATACAGGGTACAGGAAATAGCTGAAAACCCCCAACATTTTTATCCAGGCACAGAAATTGTTTTCTCTGAAGAAATGTATTCCTCTGTTCAATGTGAAATATTCAACTCGCCAATTACCGTTATATCAGAATAAATAGTAAATCTAATTCACTAGTTGTCTTATGAATTTGCACTTGAATCTTTGATCATGCTAAACGTAACATTAAGCAATATTTCTCAAGATATTCAAGCTTTAAGGTATGCATGAGTATCCCTGCAAAAAATTACTCAGCCAACAGAGGCAAAAATAAAATTTCGGCGGTTTAAAATTTGTAGGTGTTTTAGGACGACTGAATCAAATGTACATCCTTGTGCCTCGCCCTTTGAATTAACTTGAACTGATTTTGAATGTTTCAGCTTGATCTGTGTTCAGCTTACTTCAGCTGTTATTTGTTTTATTTTTTCAACATTTCCACCTTGGTTAGATCTGTTGAGAGTGGATCAAAAATGAATATACAGCATTTTCAAAACTCAGTGGAGTTTTAAAAATATATTTATTTATGTATGGTATATAGTTGAAAAAAACTCAGCGGAAGTAGCAGCCAAGGGGGGGGGGGGGTTAATGTTCGTTTAAACTCAATCAATCTGCCCTTTTGATTATTAATCACACGTATAGGCGTGAGAGTATCTCCCGTATAATAAAAATCAAGGCAATAAATTCTGTCGTTCAAAAGAATTTTTCAAAAGGAAATTAGATTGCACATTTTTGGACATTAGTTGAGATTCACGGAATTTCTAAAGATTGGAGAGTGAACCACCCAAGATAACAAAATGTTTATCAAGCAGCGCAGCAGATACATATTTTATGAGCCAAAAACCATGCTGGACTCGTCTGCCAAATATACTGTATCTGCAATACGTACGCACTCCTCAGTTATGATCACTTAATATCACTTTTCTCTATACATTTTCCAAGTTTGAGTTCGAAAATTTTATTTCGGAATAAACGAGTGTGATGTAATTTATTTTTCAGCTCCGTGTCATCAGCATTGAACGCTTTGGCGGGGATTGCGTGGGAGGATGGATTGAAGCTGACTGTTTGGGGTAAAAAGGCTGACGAATCTCAGAAACTTGTTGCCATTCGGCTTCTTGGTGATGAAACGGAATAATAATTCGTTCAAAAAAGAAATAACATCACGAAATCCCTCGATATTCAAAAATATTTTTCAGGGATTACTTTCGGGATTTGGGCGATTTTTCTGGCTTTCATCTGCAGCGTAATCGGCTCTACTCTGTTGGAAATCAATGTGACGTTGAACACCACCTTATGCACACCTTTGATCATGATGTTCTTCTCGTCTCAATTCATGCCGTTTGTCAATAAGCCGGTCAGTTCCTTCTCAAAATAGTTTTCCATTACTTCAACTCATGAAAGTGAGCACAATATTTGTAAATTCGTAGTGTAACTGCTGATGCAAAGATAAATAGCTTGTCAAAAAATCGTAATACAAAAGAGAATATTCCCTCAATTGTTTGTCTGATCGACTTCTTTAAAGAATTTAATTCGCGGATTCTTGATGAATTCGAAGATCAATCTGATTGAAATCCAAAAAACTCTCATATTCTCCCACCCAATTCTAATGTTTGGAAGCATATGCAGAAGATTTTCTGAACATTTTTTTTAATAAAATGGTAAGGATTTTTTTCAAAATCATATCCAGGAGTCTGAGTACACAAAACGCAATTTTTGCTAATAAGGATCGCGTGGCCCAACTGCTGATTTATCATAAAAACAGGATCCTCGATTGTGCAAGTCTTATTTTTCATGAACTGAATTACCTTCTCAAAGCCAAACGTGGAGTGAATGCATTTGAAATATCCAGTGGGGAAATTAATTATTTTTATCATAATATTGCTGGTGCTTTTCTAATTTAACTTTAAAGGCATTTGGGGTGTTCGCTATGCCAAATTTTCAGCGGACCTAAGAAATTCCAGGCAATTTTAAAATTCTTTTCACTTCGCACACTATTCTGCGGTATTATTTTAATTTTTTGAAGCAAGTGACCGAAGGGGAAGGGTCAGCTTGGTTTTTTTTTGGCATCTGGAGTTTGAGGGCATCTTGAGTTCGTCGTGCAATATTTTGTACTGTTTTACTTTATTCTGGTAGTATTATTATTTTAACTCAATTGATATTCGCTCAATGCAGGGAATTTTATTTGGGGCAATAGCTTCAACTCTTGCTGCGTCATCCCTGAGAATGGCAACTTTGATTGATGGAGTTCCTCCGCATCCTCGCTTGCCAACATCAACCGCGGGCTGCAAAAATTTCGAATCGCATCGACCCAAGCTGAGAAAACTTTTTTTTTGCACCTTAACGTGCAGTTTTATGAGAATTTTTTTTCTTTACATAGGACAAACAACGGTAGTCAAGACCCCGGCAAGGCGAGGGAGAAATTAAGATCCGGCCATCCGTCCTATCTGCTTAACATGCACATCGGGTTACTCGTCGGCTTTGCTGTGACTGTAGGAATAAGTTTGCTGACAGGTTTGAATGCATTCCTATAAGGATGGAATACATACCCTTTTGTATATCCACCTTCTTACCGAGTCGAATACATATTTTTCGAATTTTTCGAATTTTAAACTCAGAAGGTAATTGTCAAATCGAAAGCTCTTTGATGGTCTTGATGGCTCAGTTGAGTTCACTGTATGAATACAATTACATCTAAAATAATCCACAACTGTCTTCCATCTGACGAAAATGTGTCTTAAAAGATGGTGCACATCAGGTGTACCTTGATACAGGCAAACCTTGATAAGTCAAACCTGGCTAAGTCAATTTTTTTTCAAGTCTCGGTCTGAATTCCCTTAGAAACAAAACCCCCCTAACTCAAAGTCTTTTTCTCTAAAACCTCTGCAAGTAACGTTTTCTGAGGCCTTCTAGCTATTATTTCCTTGAAATATGGAAGATAAAATCATTAATACAAATAATCTGGAGCATCTTGAAAGGAAATGGAAGACTTATATAGCAAATGAACCCCTGCCTCCAAGTCCAGCAAGATGTAAACTCATTAATGAGCAATTCTAGGCCGAGAATATCCTCATTGACAATTTCCCACACTTATTCACTTATATTCTCCTCAAAACAAAAGCGTTTGTTTCTTTAACTGGAAACCTCCAAAAATCAAAACCTCCTAAGTCAAAACTTACTCAAGCCAAATGTTTTACCTGTCCGTAGAAATTCAACTTACAGACAAGGTTCAACTGTACCTGTAAAAGTAAAAAATCCCCTTATGCATTGAAATTGTTCTCTGGTCCTTGCAGAATTCCCTTCAAAGCCTGTCTATCTCAAATTCTATCCCCTCAAACCTCTTGAACTCAAAGGTGTGTATTCCTTTGTGCAACTAGTATGGAATCAAAGAAAGAGAGAGAGCAATGAAAATCTGACCAGATTATCTTTGAAAAGGAAGTGAGTGACTATAGAATTGTGGAATTGGACCTTGTTTTAAAGTTCAGCATCTGATCATCTCCTTAATTCAGTATTTAAGGGCACAAAAAAACATATTTCACCTTCCTGGAATTTCTTCCAAGCTTTTGTTTTACTCAAAAAAGACTGGCTTCCTTAATTTGAAAACTCCTCAAGTCAAAATTTCTGGTTAATTTATTGTTGATGGTATACGGTACATAGAAATAAATGCAAAAAGGCAATCAGTTTTTCATGATGGTAAAGCAGGTGGTGCCCCGCACTTTGACCATAATCCATTGCCAGGTAGGGGTTGAACTGTGAAGCAGTCAAATTGTGAGACAATGTCAAATTTTGTGTTTTCTATATCAAATTAGGCATTTTGAGTCTCTCTGCAAGTCAAATTGTAGGGCAAGATGTCAAATTGAAAGTTGATGTCCCAGCAAATTCAACCATCAAATTGCAGGAAGGTCAAATTGTGAGACATCAAATTGCAAGGTACCACTTGTATCAGAAATTAAGTGGAAGAGAAGAAAGAAAGTAAGGCTTAAGAATCACCGACTCATACTCCTCTTGAACTTCATTCAACAAAAATGTGAAAACAAGTTTGAAAGGAATGAATTATCAAATTGCGTCATTTTTATTGAAAAGGTGGTTGGAACCAAGAGATTGAGGACCCGTCAACTTTACACTATACAGTCAGACAGTTTGCAAATTCGAGGTCGCGACGGAAAGCATCCATGGCGGACGAATACGATGAGTCTGTCAGAAGTACAACTGAACATTCATCACAAGAAACATCAACGGGGAAATCAGGGAATGTCAAAGCATTTTCAAGCTTCCGCCACAGATCAATGCTGGATCAAATGCGCGATATGGAGAAGGGGCTCAAATCACATCGATTGTCGCGATGACCGTAGAAAAAAAATCGGAACAATAAAAAATTGAAAAACTTGATGCTCTAATATGTGGAAATTGCTTGAATAACTCCGATAATTTCTTCCGGCATTCGCACAGCATGCGTTGCTGCGACTCCAATCTGACTTGAGCAAGAAAAATTAAATTAAATTTAAGAATGAAAATATAATGACACCGACGTGTCGCAAGATGACCAAATATTCCGAACATATACGTATCTTTATTTAAATTTTCGAAGTGTCAAGCTAGAAGTTCTTCCAAGGCAAAATTTTGAGAGTCAACGAAAACGTATAAAAGCCGATTTTTCAGTCAGGTAAGAATGCAGAAAGCTTGGATTCTTTTTAATGTCAAACTTTTATTGATAGATTTTGTTAATGGGTCTTCTGAACAAGAACTGTCCAACATATTCATGTAGAATCTGAGGGACAATAATCATTTGCAGAAAAGAAAACCAGACTTGCATCAAAATGTGCCTAAAACCAATAAATATTTCCCCGTGCTCAATTTCTTAAAATACGGTTTTTTTTTCACTGCCACTAGTACCTTGCACGTTGCAAAGTTGTCTTCATTCACATTTTTAAAAGAATGCCTGAACTTATTAGACTATTAAATCTAACATTAATTTGACTGCGATTGAAATTTTCGGAGTAAATGCCAAACAATACAGCAATGAACTATGCCGAAGGGAATTAGGCTCATTTTCAGAGCCGGAAAACTTTTTTGTCCAGAGGAATTGTTCTATAATATTTTAGTCAAGTAACTGAATCTAGGATCTTTGATGCTAAAAAATAAAAAAGTAAAAAACCTGTCAGCAAAGTTCAAGAAAAGCCCGACAAATTCCCCTTGCAGTGAACAGTTCACTTGAATATGCCTATTTAAACTGCAAATTATTGTAATAGTTCGTCAACTTCTTGCAATGCTCAGTCATTACCAAAAATTAAAATTACTCAATGAGAAACGCTAAGTTGAAAGAACTGATGTTTTTAGAAAAACTTGAAATGCTGAGCAGATATACAGAGAAGGTGTGCAGCACACACCCAAAAAGATTGGAAATTGAGGTGCCTCTCATTTGCTGAAAAATTCTTTTATTTATCTCTGCTTTTCTTGAAGTAGCAAAAAAAGCATGAATTCAATTTATACAAGGGATTTTGTCCCGGAATCAATGGTCAAATATCTTTCTTGGGGTTTAAGAACATTATGCTCTTGGCCATGGTTCTTTTTAGTTGATGTATTTAATTTTTAGAAGGAAGTGCCAAGTGTGTTTTATTGACTCTGGTCAATATAAGCCTTTGAGTAATTTCTTTCAAAGTTCACAGAGAAAAATTCCTGCAATTTTCCCTAAAAGAAAGCCAGAGATTCAGCAGATGGATTTCTTGCAGAAGTATTGCTGGAAGATACTAAGCTGGTTTGGTTACAAGACAACTCACATAGCGACAACTCACACAGCAACAACTCACACAGCGACAACTCACACAGTGCGACAACTCACACAGCAACAACTCACTTAGTGCGACAACTCACACAGTTCTTTTTTTTCACTCATTTTTCTTTTTTAAATTTAGGTTCTGGCAAAAATGTATACCTTTCTTGTGTCTAGATTTTCTTTATCCTAAATTAATTGTATGCATTTATAATACAATTTTTATAAATTTTTTATACTTGTATTTTCAACCTAGTCAAGGATAATTTTGTCCTAAATTAATTGTGTACATTTCCAAAGCGCTGTCTAGTATGAGTTAAATAAATAAAAAATTTAAGACTCCATGAAGTAAGAGACTTTAAACCTTGGGAACACAAGGATAGTGTGCTTCTTTTATCTTCCTCAAGAAGTTAAGTAATATAAACCATTGTTTCTCAGCCCATGATATCTGGACTGGTGCTGGTCTGCAGATGTTTTTTGCCAGTTAATGGGAAATTGTCAGCATAAAAATTCATAAAAACTTGGGATGAAGTCTGTTCTCTTTGCCTGAAATTTTGAAAGGACAATGGCCATTGAATTATTTGATGAAAATGAAAGTTGGGTTTTCTCCCAATAATAACACATCAGACAAATTTTAACCAGCTGAAATTAATTATTTTAAATTTTTCAATCTGAGAAACCTTTCTCCAAGCCCATCATTCTATTTGCTTGATGGCATTCTCAACTTCATTTTTCTTGTAAATACCTGCCAAATAACATTAAAGCAAAACTTTTGTGAGTCTGCAAACATTTTATGAAATTTTGCTGGTCTGCAGAACATTTTTTGAGAATTTGCTGGTCTGCAAATTTTTTGTTGGAAATTTGCTAGTTCACACTCCACAGGCACAGAAAGGTTGGGGAACACTTTATATAGGCGATGGATTCTCATCCTAAACAGATGTATAAGTGTCTTTTGACGGAATCTTTCTACAACAATCGTGTCGATTTTCTCTGTTTAATGAATTTTTCGGTCACATATATAGGATTGTGTCCTCATGTTATAGGGGTTCTCTAATAAAAAAAAAATTCTCATCGCAACAAATTTGTTGTTGTCTCTTCAATTTTGATGTCAATAGAGTTCACCTGCACCAGCATCTTAAAGAAATTATTTATTCATTTTTGGAGTACCTTGGATTCCAGCAATTTCTATGATTACATATAAGGAATCCAAGATTTTCTGCCTAAAATTATCCGGAGTTGAGAAATCAAAGCATCTACCATTTCTTCACTGCTGGAGTCTGGATGAGAAAAATGCCTTGATCTATAAAGAATGGACCTAGCTTATGATAAAGGTCACAGAGTCAATTAGCCAGAGACAATGCATCACAAGATTTCCTCTGATAACAAATTGAAAATAATTTCAGACAACGATTGAAGAGCTAAAAATATAGTTCAAACAGGGTAATAAAGCCTTGAAGCAGCATTCATCCCGCGGACGGAGCAATTGCACAGGATTTTGTAAAGTTTTTTCCGCTTAATCTAAACTTACCCAGTTTATCATGCGTAACCTTCACACAGCAGCTGAAACATGAGCAGTAATTCAGACAACCTGAAGGATGCCTCCACAGCTGCAGTGATCAACAGTGCCAAAGCCCCAATAACAGAGACACTCTCAACATCCCCGAAATCTGGCCCCATCAGCAACAACAAGAGACCCCAATCGAAAGCAGACAGAAGCTCATCAGCGAGCAAGGCCAGCAGAGATGCTGTCAAACCCTGGTGGTTGACGACGCAAAAGAATTTCCTGGGTCGACTGGGTCAGCATCAGGACATGATGATGGATTCCCGCAGGACTTCTGCTGCAACTTCTGCAGTGCCGCAGTCTCCGCATCACATCATTACCCCGCAGGGTGCGACTATTGTGCATGGAAGCAGTGTTGCCCCCGGACGGCGGTTCAAGTTGCCCAGAAGTGCGCATGACGTCATCCCTGATGCGCGACTAACTGCCAGAGAATTTGTGTATCTACTCAGGTATCTGATTGCTGTGGTGATGGAATTTCCAGAATATTAAAAAAATAATAACCCTGTGAACCCTTTAATTTAGTGTCACCCCCCCCCCCCCCATAAATTAAAGGGTTGACATTGCGAAGTTGGAATATTTCTGCAAAATCGTGTGTGCCCTTGAGCAACACTGCAAATTTAAAAAAAATTTGTGACTTGAGACATCAAGTCACAAAAGTCAGAAAGTCCAATATATATATATTTTTTTTTATCCTGCAATAAATGTAGCTTAAGAATTCCTCACTGCTGGGTTGTGTTTTCTGATGCATTCCTAGCATAGGATTAGCATATAGGGGATTTCTTGAGACAAAGGGGCTTTTCTGTCCCTACTGTATGCTTCCCATCTTAGGCCTTCCACCTTGAGGGAATGCCCCCTTCCAAATCCCAGCTTTGCCACAGGATGGTCAGGAACACTTTGCCATTCAAGGGTCAAGAGAAACCCTTTTTTATTGAAAAATTGACAGCTCACTTAGTGGCTCAAAAATGACTTGTCCTGTATGAAAAATAATCAAATCAATGGAATTGTGACTTTTTTCTTAGGATATTATTGTATTATTACAGAGAATTGCATGCTCATGTAAACATATAAAAACTCAGGGAAATTTTGAACTTTTTATTTCTGGATTGACATTATTGGAATATATTTTATTGCTGCAGGACATCTTCCTTAATTAAAAATTGCTTAAACAAAGTGGATGCCTTTCCTTGGCAAAAAAATTTGGCAATTCATGCATGGTGACACCTGCTATAAAACTCAAACTCAAACAAAACTTCAAGAAACAGCTCTGTGGTTTTTCTGGACACCCTATTTGTAATATCTCATCCATTTTGCTGAAGTCATCAAAATGTAGTGAGCTTCAAACAATTTATTTTGGCTTTCACTTTCTTAAAACAGACTCAGTGGCCTAAGAATTCTGCTAATAAGCTAGAATTCGCTACATTGAAAATCCTCAACTGAACCATCCTCTCTTCCAATAATAACCTTACTTCAGTACCATCCATGCTTAGTGCCAAAATAATTCCAGGAAAAATGATGAAACTAAATTGATTTTTTGATTGTACAGTCAAAATAAGAACTTCAGAGGTATACACAATGAAGATGGAATAAACTGAATGTGCAAAGGCTGAACCAGAAAAAATAGGAAACATTTCCAAAGGTTACAGGAGCTTTTTGAAGCTTCCTTCAGCAGATGAGGTCAATAAGGTATTTTTGCGTAGACCTTGGATCGAAGCAAAACAATGTATTCAATTTCCTTTTTGAAGTGCTCAAAGGGTCAACGGATTACTTTTCTAAAAAATGTATGGAATTAATATGAATACGTTGTTCAAGATGAGGTATATTTTTCGTCATTTCGCAACGGAAGGTCGTTGTCAAACCGTTGAGTACGGTATGCATTATTACGAGAATCGAAAATAATTTTCGTTTATCCGTGTTTGCATGATTCAAAGTGGGTTCGTCCTGTTGTTCCTCGCTGCTTCAGTCACTGCCAGGGACTTGAGCATAATGGTGAACCTTTTGGCTTTCATTTATCCGGCATTTTTCTCCATCCGGGCTTTGGAATCCATGCGACCTAGGGAATTGGAAAAATGGCTGACCTATTGGGTCGTTTTCGCGTTCGTCAACATTGGCGAGCTTTTCAGCGACAACCTGCTCTGGTGGTTCCCTTACTATTGGTTCATGAAGGTTCGAATCTCATTTCTTGATTGAACACTACTTTTGTAAAGTGAACGAAAAATTTTGAACGGGTGATTCAGTCCCTTCATCATTATTATAGGTTTACGAAAATGATGGATTTCATTGCGTTTCGCCCGGATTTATTTTTTCTAAAAGACTGTTGTATTATAGACTCGAAAAGAGGAAGCATAATCCTGCAATACTGTACCGTATAATAGAACAATTTTGAATTTTTTTCATTTCGAGAGATTAGGGGTGACATTTGGATGTTATAAACAGCAAAAATGGGTGCGTATATTCTGGGATTTGATCGGAATCATAAAATTCTGAATTTTCTCCTGAAAAAAGTTAATCGGAGTGAGTATCGGAAAAATTCTGGAGCCATATTTTAGGCAGCAAGTGATTCGCAGAAGTAGGGCGCAGTAACAAACTCCTTTGTATAACATTTATATACCGGAAATTTGATCTTGGAAACGAAAAATGGCATTCAATTCCATTAGAAAATTATATTGTTCTTTCTCAACGGTTTTTTGTTTTACTGATAATGCCAGGATTTTTACATCCAATTCAAATTGACCTTGCTTTCCTGCTGAAATGCACTTTTATGGGTAGGAAAGACTCTAGTTTTTACTTTTTTTCCCCCAAGCTCATTTTCTTGTTTGTTTGTCGGGATTTTCTTATCGCTTTATTTTACCCTTCCATTCCTATGATTTTATGATTTTATCTCATGGGTCATGGCTTACTGAAATACGCATTCTTAATTGAGAAAGGTCGAAAACGTTGCCGTTTTTGCGAGTTGGAATTGAAATTCTGACGAGATAGAATGACGGAAATGTTTCTTCTTAATCTGATGCAATCGTTCCTCGTAGTGGGTTCCAGAAGGTTCAAGGATACCATTTTCAAACCTTGATGAAATTATATTTCTTGTCGATCAAATGGCAGTCTGGGAGAGAAGTGCGTTAATTATTATTTTTTGGGATCAACATCAGAATTGCGTATTTGAAGTTCAGTACTGTACAGTATTTTTTGTCGCTTTCTTGTAGAGTACATTCATGGTATGGTGCTTTTTGCCGATCGAGAACAACGGCTCCTTCTACATGTACGACAACATGATTAGGCCTGCTTACAACTCGAACGGAGACGAATTTGAAGCGATGATTGATGCAGTTAAGCACAACTTTTTGAAATTTTACAACACCGTGAAAGACAAAACTGGAGATTTCGCCAAGAGGTTATCCAGAGAGGAAAACGAGCGGGCTGAAGCCAGAAGTCGAATTGAATCCAGCAGTCACACTTCCAACAAAGGTTTACCCCCCAACGAATTTTTGTTTTGTTTTCCAGGTCAACAGGTTTGAAAAATCGAGCTTTTTCTTGCCTCAGAGTTTAGATTTTTAATTTTTTGATATTTGAAACTCAACAATATTCAATTCCAACCCTAACACGTACATGCCGCAGAAAGACAAGAACGAAGAAAAATCTTCGGATATATGTTGGAATAATTTTTTTTTTCCATTCTGATACAATTATATCCTAGCTTTGTTGTTCACATACAAGCAACATCAAAAAAGGAAAGCTAAATGGAATTTATTTTCATGTGTATCAGAACTTCATAATGATATTAGAGCCTACGAGAAAATTGAACATTAATCAACGGTAGCACGACAAATCACGCACCTTGAGAACAAATATTTAAATTTCAATTTGGTACTTTCCCACGTATCCCAGCTTGTCCACTTATTGTGTTACTTAGGTTTTGCATGCTCCAGACAAAACCAAAATAAAGGACTTTACCTGACTTAATTATCTCATGCGAATGACTCTGGATTACAAGTGAGTAGCCATTCAAATTCAGGCGACACCTGCGCGACGTGGAGAGAAGCGTTGAGATTGCAACGATACTTTTACTCATGGGTGTAGAATAGAAGTAAAGAGCAGCTTGTATTTCATTCAGCCTCCCCGGCATCCAAAGGAATTTACGCTTCAAGCTCTCAAGGAACGAAGCCGCCTTCGTCGAATTTGGACAAACAGGGCTCCAACAGTGGCACAACCAGTCACAAGAGCAGCTTGTATTTCATTCAGCCTCCCCGGCATCCAAAGGAATTTACGCTTCAAGCTCTCAAGGAACGAAGCCGCCTTCGTCGAATTTGGACAAACAGGGCTCCAACAGTGGCACAACCAGTCACAGACCAGGTGCAGGAAGCTCTGCTAATCCTCGAATCATCTCGAATCAGGATTCTGCACTCGACAAAACCCCGATAGAAATCGACCATGGTGCTGGTGGGCCAGGGACTGTGGATGCGGGCTCTGTGACTGAAAACCGTGTTCTATATCTGAGTCCACTGAAGGACGGTGGAGTCGATCAGTCGGGCAATTTGGTGCCAGGCTCTGTGGCTTCAAGAGCGCAAGAGCCTGGAATTGATGAGAATAAGACCCGTGTCATTGAAGACCCAATTGACAGGGTGATTCGGGATTGGCAGGAGTCCCCAGCTGGTGGCTCCAGGCCCAGAGCGTGAGATCTTGAACTATTGTAAGACTTCTAATGTGGAAAGAGGATCTCAACTATGAAAACTACTGTACCTGAATAGATAGATGAGTGATTTTAGTCTCCATCTACTGGAGCTTTATTACAAGTACTTCCCTAGGTCCTCCAGAATGGAAATTGAACTGCCATTGAATCACTCTAAATTTGAACAAATTAATAAAAACTCTTAATTTGAATTTTCAGTGAATTTTCATCAGCCATTCCTCTTGTAAGAACAATCAATTTTAAAGCTCATTAATTTGAATAATAATTTTTGCTTGAACCTCCTTTAGTCCATGTTGTAGTGTCTTCCTGTTACTATACAAGGGTTGGTTCATAAAAGATGATGAGGTTAACTTCCATCATTGGAGGCAGATGCAATTTTTTATTTTGCTCTTGAATCCTTCAATGGTGTCTTAATTTTTTCATGGACTATTCAGCTATACAGAAGGAAACAAGAATAACACATGGATCACAGTGAATGCCCTCCACTGAAGCACATTGAAGTGAAGTTTGCAATGTAATCCCCAAAGTCATAGAGCATGCAAGTGCTGCACATTCAGCTGCTCTTGATCAATTCAACTTCACTTCAGTGCACTTCAGTAGAGGGGATTCACTGTGCTCCAGGTATTTTTTTGTTGTTTTTTCCTTCTGTAGCTGAGTAATCAATGGAAAATTTATTTGACACCAAGTGGCAGTTCAACATCTTATATGCACCAACCCTTGTATATATATTGGGGCCAAACTTCAGAATACATGTTCCATAAACTCAAGAAAAAAAAGTGGAGATTTTCATGGTGATGCTTTCCAGAAGGGATTGGGCAATGTTCTATCTCATTCAAGAATGATGAGAGGTTTTATAAGGATTGCACTAGAAAATAAAATACTCAATTCATTTATGTAAAGCAAGCCATAGGCCCCAATAAAATCCTTTCATGTCCGCTTTTGGAGTGCTTTAAAATTTTATTTCTGAGTGTTCCATTTTTTTTCTGGTGCCTCATTTAATCAGCTCAAGTCTTTCTTATGTTGTACAAACAGTGAACTTTAAGATTAGACTAGGATAAGGTGTATGGGTGGGCTATATTGTATTAGATTTGGTTTTAGGAAAACGTTTGATTCATCCAACCCAGGTACAGTTGAACCTTGATAGCTTGAACCTCCGTAAGTCAAACACCACCCTGAAATGTGTCAATTTTTGACAAGTGTCTGTTTGAAGCCATTGAAAACAATGCATTAAAAGCCTTGTTAACTTGATTTTTTTTGCTGGTCCCATGAAGTTTGCCTTTTAAAGAGGTTCGACTTTTAATTTCCATTTTGGTCTTTCGCAGGAGAAGAGCTGCGTCCAGCACCTGATGATAAGCACATCACTGCCAGGAATTTCATTAAATTGGATTAATCGAAAATTCTTCGGGTGTGTTTCAGTGTTCAAAATCAAAACAAAAAAACTCCGTCCTGAAGATAAATAAAGCCTCATTTTATCAAAATGAATAGGCTTCTGAAGCATTCATGTCGAACATAGGAATAACGACGTCTGAAGACTATGCACGCGGATTTTCGTCCCAATTATTAATCTGCACAGCAGTGGTAATGCAAATTTCTAATTCGTTTAAGAAACGTGCGAAAGTCGTTGCAAGTGCCGATGATGGATCCGGTGTTGCTCAGCAAAAACTTCTTACTGCACCACATCTCCTCCTTTGTTTTTCCAGTCGTCGAAACTGCCCTTGTAGATGCTAAAAATGAAAGAGGAATCGTCAATTTTTGTGCAATGCGAATTCGAAAGAACGGATTTAGATTGTTTTTAAATAAAAAATCGACTCACTTGACGTTGGTGTATCCGCTTCTGGTGAGGATTTCGGCTGCGTTTGCTGCCCGTATTCCTTTCAAGCAACTGGTAACGATTTTCGAGTTCTTCTTTGGCTTGGGAAAGCCGTACAATTGTCTGAATTGATCCTCAGGCAACTCAAAAGCATCATTGAACCTGTCGACTTGATTTAAATTTTGGCATGAATCAATGAAACGATATGACAGCTGCCAGCAAAAAAATGACGCTATTTTTCAAGAGCGCACGTTTCAGTCAGAAAAAGTGCGCCTACTAAGAGTATTTCTCGTCTGACCTCAGTTGATTTCATTTATTTTCAACATTTGAGACATTTGTTCTTCATGCTCTTGCAAAAATATTCACGGCTTGATTGAATCGTTAATTTTTCATTGATTTCAATAAGGCAATGCCAGGAAAATTATATTATTTTCAACACAAAATAGAAGCACTCCAATTCGACTTTATAGACACGAATTATACCTTGATTAAACTTATTTACAATTATTTCTATGAATGTTTGTCTGATATATTGGTCCAATTTTACATCAAGCACAATGATTACCTAAACTTGTAAAACTTTTTAGAAAATGTACACCCACACATATGATATGACACATACCCCCTTAGCCCCAAAAATTTGTTTCAGAAACAATTTGTGTCGTATTTGAGGTAACCCTTGGACAGCACAGGGTTCTTTTTCGTTGCATGACAGAGTTGGGATTTGATCAGGGGACAGCGCATTTCAGTTTGACCCAAAGTCATTGAAATGCTCCCAGGTTAAGAAGGTCTAAGTTGGGAATAAATCTCCAAGAGGCAAATTTTATAATGTTTTCAGGATCTTCCCATACTAATTGTATTCCAGGAATGCACGAAAAATGCCACCCAGGGAAGGATTCTTTTTATTTTGCATTCAAAATTTTCTGCACGCTTAAAAAAAATATTGGACTTTCCCCCAACTTTGTCCTTGGAACTAAAGTAGGATTTTTTAATTTCCAGTGCTCAGAGGCACACAATTCTGCAAAATATCCAGATTTAGCCACACAACGGTTAATATACAGTAGTTGTTTTTGTTCATAAGTACCACTATAGTGATCCCAGTATGCAGCTGAAAAAGCAAAGTCTCTTGCATACCACCTGACAGCCCAATAACAGATAATTTGGGCAGCAGAAGTTTCAAAATTGCGTTGATGGGTCAATTGAAGCATAATATTCTGACACAGTAAAGGTATTATCTTGAAAATGTTTTGATGATTTGCTATAAATGTTATGATCTAAGATGCCTAGTCTTGTCCATAAGTTGGTAGCTCAGTTATGGATGTGACCATCAGCCAACACAACTAGAACAAATGGTACAAATACCGTAACTTGAAAAACAGTATTCTTATTTTTGTTTATTCCTCAAAGCAAATTTTATCCAAGAGAATTACATATATATCTGACGATGGTTTTGGATTATTCAATTTTTTATATTCGACTCATCAGAAACTCACCTGGCACATTGAAGGAGTTAGGAATGTGACCGTCGCGGAATTCGTCACGACTTCGGACATCAAGAAGGACTGTTCCATCTTTGTTTGCATCCACCATCTGCTTCATCTCCTCAAAATTAACAGTTCCTTCAAAACGACGAAAGTTATGGATTTGGTTATACAGCATCTATCGTAAATGTGCAATGAAATTTTATGCAACGTAAGTTCAGTACAGAAATAGGAAAGCTAAGTGACTTTAAATCCCATGTGTGGTGAATGAACTCAAACAAGGCGATACATGAATTTCTGCTAGTCTCATAAAAAGTTGCATCATCTACTCAGTATACTCCATTTGGGACTCCTGGGTTATTGGCCGAAAATGGCAAAAAAAAATTCTGAAAAAATTCTTTAAAATCTTCATTTACATCACAGAAAAACTTATTTACAACTGGAGATGTAATTTGCTGAGTTTAATTTATTTTGGAAAAATGTATGCTCATGAAAGGAAATATTCGCATTAACTTTCTTCAATGCCATCCATAGTTCGATTGATTTTTACCGATTTTTCAACTACATCCGAAACAAAGGCAAGAAGAAATGAGAAAAATGTATCTGCGTGCTGCCTGAAACTTTCAACAGACTTCAAAAACTGGACGATTTGATTGACAGATTTTATTCGACCAATATTCTTTTGGTTACAGTGCGTTTCGTTATTATTGGTAATTATAATTTAGCAAGTACAGTGAACTCGTTCGCTGAACACGAACGAGCCAGGAAACCCGATCCACGAAACGACATAAGAGCCCTGTAAAAAATAAATACATTAGGTTTGTCACATGTCACGCTATTTGCATAAAACATGAACCAACGGAGACCCCAATTTGGGATCGATGTGGCACGATCCATCGCGAAAATAGGCGGAACAACGGAATTCATTAATTTTCCTCGAATTCATTGATTTGATAAGTACATCAAAGCTTTCAGCAGTCATTGACCTCATCGTGACAAGACCGTGAAGAAAATATGCAGTACCAATCTCAAAATCGTCGATTGATGGACAAATTTTGTAAAATTGTGTTAGTTTGAAAATTCAAATAATTGACGAGTCGTTCTTTCGAAGCAAACTTATTGCATCTTTTATTCAGTCACACATTCTCAGTTCATTTGTCTCGAAATATTCTCTCGCGCTTGGAACTGTGATTCGAGAACGATCACAATTGCGTAAAATACTGCGTTTTTCAATCATGTTTTAAAATTCTGCGGAATTTCCTAAGCAGAAACTCAATTCGATATAAATATCAATAGTTGGATTTTGGACACACGCGCCCATATCGACGAGAACTATAAAAGAGGAAATATTCAGTATATTTTCAACCATTATTGATACGTTCTCGAGTTTCAGAATTAGGCGATTTAGGGTGTTTTTTTAATAGGTCTGGTTGGTTTATGTAATTTTGTCAGTGTATGTAAGAAATATGACAAGTACACAACGGTTGTCAAAAATTTACGGTACAGTATCTACTTTTCTTTTTGCAGATGTCGCGACGAGTAGATAAATTCTGTGCGTGTCCATTCGACGAAGAAAAAAAAAAGCTTACGTAAGCTTTGAGTCAGAACTTCTCAAACAGTTCTTATCATTTTGATCAGGTCTTTTTTTTTCAAGCCTAGACTAAAGGAGGCAAATGAAATTCGGCCTTCGGTTGAGGATCTTGAGCTTCATCAGACTCTTCAGGAGGTTTTTGTTCCGAATCTGAAGAGTCGTCTGCGGCTTCGACAGGAGCTGACTCGGCTGTTTCATCAGGTGGATGAGGATTCGATTCATTTTCTTCTGGATTTTCAGCCCCAGGTTCAGTTTCGAGTGAGGACTCAGCAGGCGCAGGCTCGTCTCCAGTAGGTGGCGCTTGAGGTTCGATGTCTTCAGGACTTAGTTCAGCATCGGAATTACTTGTAATGATAGGTGCTGGGGATGACTCCGTTTCACGGGTTTCGCCTTTGTCTTCTCCCTCTGGGGCCTCTACTGCTGGTTCATTTGCAGTGAGAACAATCTCCTCTGCAGTTTCATCGCTTTTATCCTCGTTAGGATTTTCTTTGTTATCCACATCTTCGTCAACGTCGGCTTCCGTCGTTTCATTGCTGGGACTGGAAACTGGAACTGCGCCATCGTCCGGTACTTTCGCCAATGGGACGATCGACTCTGTGATTTGAATTACGGCGTCCTCTGGTGCTGAAGCCGACAAGTCCTTCGCAGCCTCAGAGATGATGTTGAGAGGAGTCGCAGCAATCGGCGGCGGTGATTCTGCAATTGCCGAAAGGCTCTTCTCACTGGAAACTGAGTAATCCACGCTTTTATTTTCGGACTCGAGGCAGAAATTCGTCTGTGTCCACATGACGTAGTTGGTGGAGAACTTATTGTGCACTTATACATTTATCACTTTTTTTTTACAGGAATAGAATAAGAAGCTGACGTCAGAGATTGTCTAACATTTCAAAGCCCCTGCTGTAAAATAACTCATAAATTCTAAATATGAACGATGTTACGTCATTTTCCTGCCAAACTAGACATATTTACGTGATTTTTCAAAATAATTTACCATCGCTCATTACTTTGAATGAGTCGCGGGATGAGATGGACGTATGAAGACCACATTTTACGGAAAGCGACTCCTGAATCCTGTGCATAATATAGTTTTAACTGTGACATGAAAAAAATTCTATTTCAAATAATAAGTATGCAACATACGTGTAGGACATACGTGTAGAATAACTCAAAGTAATTGAAGCGTCTTTCCAAATAACTTCATTTTCTTGGTACTGTGTTGCAGTACTTACATAAGAATGACCAAAAACGCAGAAATTCGCAGAAAAAAGTACCTAGGGGTAGGATTTGCAGTGGTTTTCACAGGGTTGTCAGAGTTCCAGGTGCATTTAAATTATTTGCTTGCAGCGAGCTACGGAACGCACTTGGGGTGCTTCAAAATATTTTTTGGGTTTATTCTGCGAACGTATTGGAAATTCCTCAAGTTTTTTTATAAGAAAGCTACGACGAATAAGTATTCATAATATTGCAGTGACAAACTATAACTGATCTCCTGGTTTAAATAATCTTTGCTCTTACTGCTGGTGGAAAATAATACAGTCAAACCTTTTCAAGTCGAACTTTCAGGGATCAGAAAAAAAAATTCGAGTTACCCCATTGAGCACAAAAATGTCTGTTTTGGGTCTGATTTTTATCCAAAAGCAACTTGTCCGCAAATCTTGCCAAAAAAGGACAAGTTGCGGACAAGTTGCTTTGAAAAAAACGGACCCAAAATGGACACTTTTTGGAGGGAGAGGGGGCAAATTTTGGATAAAAAATGGACAAGTTTTGGATTATTTTTGGAGGGGAAAAGGACAAGTTTTGGATGATTTTTGGAGGGGAAAAGGACAAGTTTT